TGGTAGAGAAAAAAAACACGGAAAAACTTGTCAATTTTTTCCATATTTACCAACTTTACCACCTTTTCCGTGTTCATTTTTCTGTGTAGAAAACTGGTTCTATCATCGTTTGCCCCATTCGACTTCAAAAATGGAAAAAAAAAGAGCCAACTTTTGCCTCTTCTATCCCTCTCACTTTTCATACCAAAAAGAAAAATTAAAATCAAAAAAAAAAAAAAGTAATAATAAATTAAACTTTTTAACTGTTTTAGTGTTCGACAGTGTTTTTTGATAAGTTTATGGTCGACAGTTTCAGCGGTATTATAGTCAACAGCGATGCATTTTGTAAATTAGCAGACTGCCAGTGAGCTGGAATTCTGTGGAGAAAGTAGTAACCAAGAAAAAGGAGTGGTATTTAATGAGGGAAATAAGAATTCAGTATTAGCTGACTGATGATGTGGATGATTTGGGTGGAATAGGGTGTAACGAGGGTTGAAACGAAATGTGCGGTGACAAAGAGTAGCGTGAAGGAAAATTGAAGAAATTGAATAGATTTATACATGTCGTATATAACATCGTTCCCGAAATAATACTATCAGATATCGTTACTGAACATCATTATCATCAACACTGTAATCATTGCCGTCGTCCCAACAAATAAACAGCAACATCATAAGTCAGGAAAAACGGTACCATATATCAGTGTGGTCTATTCTTACGATATATGTTTGAAAATTGTGTATATGTTATATGTATGTATTTTCATTCTGTCATAACCCATTCACATTTGCTAAGCCAGAAAATAATCAAAAAAAAAAAGAAGGGAAAAAAGTGAAAACAGAAACACAGGTTTCTAACAATTTCTAAATATCAGTAGCAAAACAACAACTTTTTCCCTTTTTTTTTTTTGTCTTCTTTTTTTGTTGTTATTAATGTTTTGAAACAGTTCAGATCTCCACTTCTGATCATAGGATTTCCAACAGAACTAAAGCCACTTAGAATTGTCATCAGTGACAATATGTAAAGCTCTAAAATAATACGCAGAAGAAAAAAAAATGGCAGAGAATGTAGCAACCACATATAAACCAAAATATATAAGCAAAAAAAAAACCTGAATAAAAACTAAATTGTACGCCCAAATATAATATCGGTTCTGTCCGTTTTTTTTAAGGCTTTTGCTAAACTCTAAGAATTTTTCAATTTTTTTTTTTCAGTTTCAGAAAACTTTGTATATTAAACAGATAAAATGGTGATGATAAACAAAAAATACGTTGCACAGAAATGTAAAGTGAATTGAAAACAAAACCATCAAATTAGTTTTCTTGTTTAAAAATGTTTTCTTGTCTTCTTTTTTCTTTTTTCTTTTGTTTGAAAAAAATTTCATAACTGAGAAAAAAGTAAAATCTTTTGCTTTCTCTGCATCAAAAATAAATATCAAAAAAAAGATGATGTGTGATTATTTTTAAGAAACTGTTACTTCATTAAAATAGAATGAAATCTTACAGGTAATACAGCAAACACACAAAAAAAGCAAATAAATAAATAAATAAAGATTAAAGAAGTAAAAAATATATATAGAAGACGTATAAAAATAATAAGTAAAATTTTCTCCATCATCATTTTTTCTTTTTTGAAAAAAAATTCATAAACAACAGAACAAAAAAAATCCTTTTATTTCTGCTTTTTGTTCTGTGTTAATACTATTTTACAGCAAAAACTTCTCCAAAGCTTTTCAGTTACTGCCGAACGATACGTATTTGCCAGGTGTGGTGATGATTTTCACCTCCACTATTACCACAGTACAATCTGTCCTTCACTATTCTCCTCCTTCTGCTTCTTCTCCTCCTCCTCCTCTTCAGTCTTCCCCTTCCTCTTCTTCTTCTTCTTCTCAGTCATTTGTCTTTCCTGCTAAAGATGTTATTACTCTCACCTTTATACCTCATCATCTTCCTATTTCGCTTACTACTGTTATTACTGCTGTTATCTTCATCACTATCATCCTTCCTTCACTCCCGTTTTTCTAATTTCTTCTATCAAAAATTGCTGCTGTTTGAGCGTGATTTCATAGAAGAAACAACAACACTTTGAGCTTGATGTTCGGCAATAGTCAGCATCTAGTCTTACGCCAAATAACAAAAACCCTAATCGAAAGTAGCGGCAATGAATACAGTTGGTTCACGGTATTGCCATTTGCCGATACAGTCTCGGAAAGACCGTTAATTCGGGCTGCCAAAAGAACCTCATAAATAGCAAAAAAAAAAAAAAAAAAAAAAAAAAAAAAA